GTTTTAAGAGTTAATGATGCAGCAATCTAGCTGTGATGGTTGATACTTTAATGTCCGACATCGACTGACTCACTCAACACCACTGAGTATTTATCATTTCACCCACGGGAAACGAATATGGCACAAGGCCGGTTTTATTGTGGGTTTCTCCGAGCCCATAGGCTCGGCCAAAAAAATAGCCTTTGAAGCCGATTAGACGGGTTCAGGCCCTGTCTACCTCCCCGGACGAAACCTTGCCCTTTGGCAAAGCCTCGTCCGGGTTCCTCTCTGCGTAAGCAGAGAGTTCGACAGGAGGCGTGCGCAGTCAAAGACCGCTCAACACCACTGAGCACAACTGGCGACCGCTACTACTACTTATTATCTGTGGGAGAGTCTATTACAATAGAATAGGTACGTTCAGGTATGACAGTATATTACTTTAAACACACTAATCCTGCTATAATAACACTACAACTCTAATGGGTTACTGAAGACATAATATGACGACAACTGAGCATCAACTCTTCACGTAGAAATATACCGATTCAGTGGCGACGCTAGGTCATCAATATTTGTCGGGCTCATTACAATCTTTAACAAAATATACTATTAGTATAGCTTAGATGCTAAAATGATTTCTTTACTCTAACTAAAATATATAATTTTAAAAAATCTCTAGCCAAATATATTTTTTAAAATAACGTCTGTGTTAAATCTCAAGTGTGTGTTTGTATATATGTCTATGCGTTAGTGCGTTTACGATCTCCCTGTCTGTGAAGTTTTAGATTAATTTATTGTAGGTTTTTGGGCCAGTAATTGTGGCTGCTGACTGATATTATATTTCCTCAACATCCAACATTTCCAGTCACACTCCTCACCCCAACCCTCCAGTCGACGCTTTAATTTTCGAGGTCGAGCTAAATTTAATTTGCCTTTTTTCAATTGATACATTGTGCTAAATAACTTATACCGTACGAAATAAATTGTTTAAAATGGGAATTTGAAAGTAATAAGTTGAAATAAATATAATAAAAAAATGTTATCTTTAAAAAACAGGGCATACAAGAGATTTTTAAAAGATTATTTATAGAAATATATTGCCTATTACGATTGTCTCCGACTCAGATAGGGTTAAGAACTAGGCAGCCCGACCGGCCAGCTCAGATAGGGCTAAGAACTATGCAGCCCGACTGGACAGCTCAGATAAGGCTAAGACCTATGCAGCCTGGCTGGACAGTTCAGATAAGGCTAAGACCTATGCAGCCTGACTGGACAGCTCAGATAGGGCTAAGACCTATGCAGCCCGACTGGACAGCTCAGATAGGGCTAAGACCTATGCAGCCCGACCGGCCAGCTCAGATAGGGCTAAGACCTATGCAGCCCTACCGGCCAGCTCAGATAGGGCTAAGACCTATGCAGCCCGACCGGCCAGCTCAGATGGGCTAAGACCTGCAGCCCCTACCGGCCAGCTCAGATGAGGCTAAGACCTGTGCAGCCCGACCGGCCAGCTCAGATAGGGCTAAGACCTATGCAACCCCGACCAGCCAGCTCAGATGGGGCTAAGACCTATGCAGCCTGACTGGACTGTTCAGATAAGGCTAAGACCTATGCAGCCTGACTGGACAGCTCAGGCCTAAGACTATGCAGCCGACCGGCCAGCTCAGATGAGGCTAAGACCTATGCAGCCCCTACCGGCCAGCTCAGATAGGGCTAAGACCTATGCAGCCCGACCGGCCAGCTCAGATGGGGCTAAGACTATGCAGCCTGACTGGCCAGCTCAGATGGGGGGCTAAGACCTGCAGCCCTGCCCGGCCAGCTCAGATAGGGGCTAAGACCTGTGGCCTCACCGGCCAGCTCAGATAGAGCTAAGACCTATGCAGCCCGACCGGCCAGCTCAGATGGGGCTAAGACCTATGCAGCCCGACCGGCCAGCTCAGATAGGGCTAAGACTATGCAGCCCTACCGGCCAGCTCAGATAGGGCTAAAGACCTATGCAGCCCGACCGGCCAGCTCAGATGGGGCTAAGACATATGCAGCCCGACCGGCCAGCTCAGATAGGGCTAAGACCTATGCAGCCCCACCGGCCAGCTCAGATAGGGCTAAGACCTATGCAGCCCGACCGGCCAGCTCAGATGGGGCTAAGACCTATGCAGCCCGACCGGCCAGATCAGATAGGGCTAAAGACCTGTGCAGCCCTACCGGCCAGCTCAGATAGGGCTAAGACCTATGCAGCCCGACCGGCCAGCTCAGATAGGGCTAAGACCTATGCAGCCCGACCGGCCAGCTCAGATAGGGCTAAGACCTATGCAGCCCTACCGGCCAGCTCAGATAGGGCTAAGACCTATGCAGCCCGACCGGCCAGCTCAGATAGGGCTAAGACCTATGCAGCCCTGACTGGACAGTTCAGAGCAAGGCTAAGATGCAGGACTGGACACCTGACTTATGCAGCCCGACCGGCCAGCTCAGATAGGGCTAAGACCTACAGCCCTACCGGCCAGCTCAGATGGGGCTAAGACATGCAGCCCGACCAGCCAGCTCAGATGGGGCTAAGACCTATGCAGCCCGACCGGCCAGCTCAGATAGGGCTAAGACCTATGCAGCCCTACCGGCCAGCTCAGATAGGGCTAAGACCTATGCAGCCCGACCGGCCAGCTCAGATAGGGCTAAGACCTATGCAGCCTGACTGGACAGTTCAGATAAGGCTAAGACCTATGCAGCCTGACTGGACAGCTCAGATAGGGCTAAGACCTATGCAGCCCGACCGGCCAGCTCAGATGGGGCTAAGACCTGCAAGCCCGGGACCGGCCAGCTCAGATAGGGCTAAGACCTATGCAGCCCGACCGGCGAGCTCAGATAGGGCTAAGACCTATGCAGCCCTACCGCCAGCCAGATAGGGCTAAAGACCTATGCAGATAGGGCTAAGACCTATGCAGCCCTACCGGCCAGCTCAGATAGGGCTAAGCCCTACCAGCCAGCTCAGATAGGCTAGACCTGCAGCCCGACCGGCCAGCTCAGATAGGGCTAAGACCTATGCAGCCTGACTGGAGTCGCCACTGACTGAGGTCTAGTAGCCAAATGCAGTTTTACCAGTTTTGGGAGAAAATCCACCAAATATATCATTTTAACCATTGCACTGGACCTGCCTGAAGTATTTCTGTCTATATCCTATTGTCAAGAGATGTTTAGGATCAAGATCAATATAAATATTAATCGACCTAATAGAGGAACTGTATCGATCTAAAGAATCTTACGTTTTGCAAGGACCCCAATACAGAAATATTTCAAACCTCATCAGGTGTATGACAAAGAGGAAAAATATTTCAAACCTCATCAGGTGTATGACAAAGAGGAAATAAGAACTCTATTCTATTTAATCTCTTCCTAGACTATGCCCATTTAATAACACAGATGTGAGTAGATTAGCACTAATCATTTAAGCATTCCATATCCCATCCCAAATCAAACTACTAATAGAAAAGAACGATTCTGTTTCAACCCCCGGCCCTGATACTAATGTACTGAAGATAAAGTGGCTATGCTGATGACATAGGTTGACTTAGTTGGGATAAGAATGACCTTAAAGAAAAAAATATCAACATTCTCTACCAAGTGTTCCATGAAATAGGACTCAAGATAAACCTTCCCAAAATGTTATCATCTGGAATTGGAACGAAAGCAACGATGGCACCTACACTGAATCTATCAGAAAAATTCAGTATGTGAAATTAGTAAATACTAAACACTTCATAAACAATCAGCGTATGGATCAGTTATAATAAATTTATTATAGTTATTAAATTTCTCAGAATAATTCTGTAGATAAGACAAATTGGAGAAAAAAAGACAATTGGAAAAATATTTCTTAGTCATTGCCGAAGCATTTCATCAATTCGACTTCGACTTATCAAGGCAAGTTTAAAAGAGAAATGTTTTTAAGTTATTCAAATATCTCAAATACGTAAATATTTCAAACCTCATCAGGAGTATAGAACAAGGAGGAAATAAAAACTTCAGTCTATTTAAGTTCTTCCTAGGCAATGCCTGCGCATTTACAAACACATATCTGATGAGATGGGCACTGATCATTTAAAAATACAGGATGAAGACATCAAGATTTGTACACTTCAGTGCAAATAGATGATATTGTCCATTAGAACAGATTCTCGGTTGGTAGGCTAAAATAATTTGAGACAACCCCCCCACTCACAAGAAGAAAAATAGTTCCTAATTATTACTTTTAGTTTGGTCGAAAGTCACATTAGTTGTGCAACCAGTGAGAATCTAAATCACAACATTAATGACTCCATCAACAAATAAGCTAACGATTACTCTACGCTTGACATATTTGCGCTGATGTTTGGAATTAGTCACAATAAATAAATACAATATTAAGGAAACGGATTTTATTCAAATTTTGTTAATTTTTATTCATTTTTTACTAAGATTGATTACTGTTACTGTTTATCGAAATCAATCGTCATTCTAATAATTAGCAAGAATCAAATATAAAGAATAAACCCTTCAGCAAGATTCGAACATTTTGCAGGGAGCTTGCCAGCAAAGAGCAGCTGCTTTGTTGATTGGGCTACGTAGAATTAAAAAAAAAATGAAGAATAAAGGCTGATTGGTTGGTCTTCTTGATCTAACTAGTAAGGCATTTGTTCAGTTAAGAGACGTTTTAAGGAAGAGAGATATGCGTTCGAATCTCGGCGGTAGCATTTTTTTTTCTTTTCGCTCTGCAGCTGCTTACTAAAGATTTAGAAATGACGATTGGGGTGTTGCAATAAAAAACAACAAAAATAAGATGCAAGAAATATTAATAAAAACCGGAATATTAAAATGAATCTTCATTTGGATGCAGACAAGGTTTCAGTGGCGGTTGTAAGGCAAAACTGATGGAAAACTTGAGGGACTGTGCCGAATCAGTGAGCCTGAGTACGTTTCATTTGGATATTTTTTGGAGGCTAAGAAATACATATTTTAAATTTTCTCCGTTTCAGTGACGACGCTAGTTGAATTTCATGAAACAATATTTCACAAGAAATGGTGGCAATAGAGAGAGTCGATCGCTGTCTTTCATTCTTTCTTTTTCTTCAATCATCTATGTTTTTATTGTGTATCCTCCGTCTTTACGTATTCTTTCTTTCTTTCTTTCTTTCTTTCTTTCTTTCTTTCTTTCTTTCTTTCTTCTATGTTTCTATTGCATATCTTGTCTTAACATGCACTTTATTTTTTCTTTCTTTCCTTCATTCTTTTTCTTCATTCATCTATGCTTCTATTGTGTATCCCCCGTCTTTATGTATTCTTTCTTTCTTTATTACTTTCATTCATTCATTCATTCATTCATTCATTTTTTTCTTTTTCTTTCTTTTTCTCCACTCATTCATGTCTCTGTACTCTATCGTCTATCTGTACATACTCTCTTTTTTCTTTCATTCATTCATTCATCTTTCTTTCTTTCTTTCTTTTTTCTTTCTTTCTTTATTTATTTCTTTATTTCTTTATATTTTTTCTTTCTTTCTTTTTTCTTTCTTTCTTTATTTCTTTATTTCTTTATATTTTTTTTTATTTCTTTTTTCTTTCTTTCTTTCTTTCTTTCTTTTTTTTCTTTCTTTCTTTGTTTCTTTCTTTCTTTGTTTCTTTCTTTCTTTCGTCTGTTTCTCTTGTGCATCCTGTCTTTACGCCTTTTATTTTTTCATTCCTTCTTTCTTTCTTTTTCTTCATTCATCTATGCTTCTATTCCGTATTCTCCATTTTTACGTTCTCCATCTTTCATTTTTCTTTCTTTAATTATTTCTTTCTTTCTTTCTTTCTTTCTTTCTTTCTTTTTCTTCATTCATCTATGATTCTATTCTGTATACTCTGTCTTTACGCACTCTTTCTTTCCTTCTTTCTTTCTTTTTTTACATAATCGATTTATAGTTTTTTTTTCCTTCTCGTTTTTCTTACTTTTTATCTTTTTTCTTATACTATTTCTATTCACCAGGTAAATAAATTTTCACTCTTATCTCAAGTTCATGCGAATTTTAATTGGCCTGTGACCCTTGACACAATGTTTCTGTTTTATCCTTTGACCTTTGACTCAAAGACCCTATACCCTCCTCCTGTTTGACCATAAAATGACCACTCCTTCCCGTAGATCAAGTTTCCTCTCGTCATAATCAACTCTGTCTCCTTTGGAAAGAGAAACCGTTTCTAACCTTTTACACATCTTATCCGCTCATTGACCGTTGTTTTCACGCAGCTGTGATCAGCGAAGGTCAACTAAAATTACTTTCCAAGTGTTCTCTTGAAAAAAGAAAAGGAGAAAATTCGAATTAGATGAAAATACCGGTTATACTGTTTACATACACCTTTTTTATTGCGACGTGTCCGTAGAAAACAGATCTCCCGTTTATTTTAGATTAATAGTTTTGTCAAAAAATACTCAAATGAGATACAAATTACTTTTTCAGCGGATATCGAAGGGACAAGAAACAATTGTGTGTGAAGATAAATCATTAGGAATGGTATCTGATTTAATAAGTGGCAACAACAAAAACCATATCCTGCGCATGTCCAAGATTATTGGTTACGACCCGGCAGATAATTATAAAAGAAACAGAGGGGAAAAAAAACTATTTAAAACAACAACAACAATAATAATATATATATATATATATATATATATATATATATATATATATATATATATATATATATATGTATTTATTTCAGGTTTCACACCGTACGAAATTATTGGTATTTTCTATTGTTATTCACTTGAAAACAAATTGTCCATTCATGTATTTTTACTAATAGATTTCTTTTGTTCAATCAAGTGGCAACAAATAAAAAAACAACATCCTTCGTTTGCCCGAAGTCATTGGTTATAACAAAGCATGTTATTATAAAGCAAATGCGGGTTATAAAGAATTTTAGAACAATAATAATAGGATTTTTCTCTCATAAATAGGAGTAGATTGGTTCGCCCGTCTTGTATTTTTGCTAATAGATTTCTTTTGTTCAATCAAGTGAAAACAACATAAAACAACATCCTTCGTTTGCCCAAAGTCATTGCTTATGGCAACGCATGTGATTATAAAACAAATTCGGGTCAACAAGAATTTTAAAATAATGATAATGCTGCAGATTGTCAAAGGCTGTATTTCGCTGGTGCAATCTTACACACGGGGTCACGACAAAATAGTCCTCAGATTACATTGGTAACTATTTGAGAAGTATGACTTTCTAGTACGCACAGAAATGGTACGAGCATTGACCATTGTCCATGGTGAAAAATGAGCAAGTGAAGCTCATTTTCGGATACAGCTATCGCCCTGATATCACATTTGTGCTTTGAATGGATCCTGATAGACGCTGCTGTACTTTTGGACAAGAACATCGTAAATGTGAATCGGGCGAAAATATAAAGGTCTCAAGTGCCAAATAAGTGAAAATGGCATATTTTGCAATATACCGTTTACATCGCCATAACGGTAAATTAATGTTCATCTAGAAATTGTCCGAATATTTTTTAGGTTAATAATGTTTTAAAATGGAAATATTTCTTTGTTAGAATATCTATTATTGTTGCTTAATGTTGGTTAGTTATTTTATTGGGTCAGAACCACGGTTTGTTTTTCAGAACTGCCTGTAACCACAGCAAGAGAGTTCTAGAAAATGCAAAGTGTAGCTATGCTCGAACAATCAGACCAAGTTTGAAAGAAAAAAAGGCTCTCAGAGGTAGTGCAAAGTATCAGTGCCTACTATTATAAATGGCCCAAAGTCATTTCATCCTAGTCAAACAAAGCGAAACACTTCGCCTCCATCTTTGCCTCAAACTCAAACTTTAGATGACAAAGGTCACCCGCTTCCTGACTTCCCACGTTTCACTGAACACAGTCTCAGTAAGATTTTCATTATAGCCTAGGAAGTTTCAAGTCTTATCAAAAGCTTTGACCCTAAGAAGGCTATCGATCCAGACAAAATCCCGTTGGTCCACCTTAAGAATATTAACCCAGAGCTATCCACAAGCCTAGCGAAACTATTTAACCGCTGCTTGAAGGAGAAATCATTCCCATGCCCGTGGAAAGTGCTAACTGTATGGCTGACTTTCAAGAATGCTGGTGAGCGCTCACTAACCTCACAATATAGACCAAATTGTTGATCATCTCAATAGGTTCAACGTCTTGGGCGACAAGTAGTACCGGTTTCGATCACCCCGGTCCACTGCTGATATCCTAACTGCGATTACTCATAGAATCAGTGAAGTGCTTGACAACAAATACATCTCAAAGACGGTCGCATTAGATATTTCAAAGGCTTTGACAAGGTGTAGAATAGGGGTTACTGCTCAAGATCCCTAGCTATGGAGTCACTGGAAGAGTCTTCTCTATAAAGTCTTGCATAACGGGTAGGTCCCTGAAGGTAGTTGTTAATGTTGCAAATAAAGAGTGTATTCCAATCATTTGTGAATATCTATGTATATCGGTGCACTCACAAAACCTTTGATGACCAGAGCTTGTCAGCTGATCTCTCCTCTGACCGAGCTGTAACAACTCAATGGAGGGAAAACTGGCTGGCGACATTCGATGCCTCAAAGACCAAACTAGTGACCTTCCACCATTGCAGATCGGAACCAGAAATATCACCAATCGTGATAAACGTGTGGCCCTTCAGGGATGCCCCGTGCCTTGTTCGTCTATCGGGACTTAAACTCAAACCAGATCTCAAGTGGGACTCGTACATACGATCCATCGCTAAAGATGCTGAGAAAATGATAAGTTCGCTGTATCTAACTCCTCCTGTTATCCTCTACCTTTGCAAGAGCCAGATTAGACCTAAAATGGTTTATTGCTGCCATATATTGACAGGTGCTGCCCAGTCCTCACCTACCAGTCTCGATAGATTCCAAAAGTGTCTCCTCGTCTTTGTAGGCGACGAATTATTTTCCCCTTTTTCTCACAGCCGAGATGTCGCCTCTTACTACTCTCTTATCCCTATTTCCATGAAGGTTATTCAGATGATCTACACTCTTCGTTTCCACCTGTCCTAACCTAACCCGTCGTACCACGCCTATTTTAGCAAACCACACTCATTCCCTTCGTATTCTCCCTGTGAGATGTAACTTCCACTCGAGCAGCTTCTTCCCATGAACCACTGCATTGCGGAAACGATTTTCAAGAGGTTGCTTCACCGATCGCTACAATCGGAACCGATTCGATTCTAGGGTCAATCGTTATTTTCTACACATATCCGCATAAGCTGTGCCTTTTACTCTGTAACTCTATACATCGACTGACACCCAGAACCTTATAAAAGGTGAACACCATTGTAAAAAGTATGAAAAAAAACCCCTCAAAATCTTTCTAACGGTGTCGCAACCCTGGAATGGCCTCACCAGACTACTAACATTAACATTTTCTTGAAAATTCGATCATGGATTCGAACTTTCATCATATTCTCGGAAAGTGAACGTTCTAACAACTGACATCTACCCTCCATATATATATATATATATATATATATATATATATATATATATATATATATATATATATATATATATATATATATATATATATATATATATATATATATATATATATAACAAGTGTAACCGCAAAATTGTCTAATTGCTAGATTAAACTCTGAACCGTTGTATCTTGAAATGATCTGTTAATTCCTTTGAGGACAGATGGCATAGTGGATAAAGGCGTTAGTTAGATCCAGTGACAGGACCCAAAAAGTGTGAGTTCAATACCCGTTTAAGGCAGTGGAGAATTAACAGGAGATAACTGACAATTGACATCCATTAAACATAGCAGGTGGAACTAGAACAGTCTAACCCAGTGAGCGAAATAAAGGGTTCAGTTCGACATTTCAAGAAAGCCGGAACGTACAACGGCCAAAACGTTGTAATAAATATGGCGACAAAAATGAGGACAATAGTCCAAATAACTGAAATAGTGTAGTTTTAATATATATATATATATATATATATATATATATATATATATATATATATATATATAATAAAAAACGCATTTATTCATTCGTTCTAAGTTCGACATCTAACGTCTCTGCCTATTTCTGAAATATATACTACTATTGTCTTTTTGTTCCCTTCTAAATTCTTTTCCTTCTCTTTCACATCGAGTGGCCCCTTGTGTCTTTGTCGCGTCATCTTCTTGCTTTGGACGAATAATTAACAAAATAAGCATATACAATAAATGCATTCTATATTGAAATTTACTTTACAAAAGAATATCACCGACCCCAAATCGAGACCCTCTCTGCTTCCATTTTTATGCATTATCTAACAAGCCGTATTTATAATTTTTCGAAGTGTTCGAGTGTAGAAATTTACTAACCCTTCTTTGAAACTTAGCATTGGAAGTCCTAACCATTGGCTGGTGGGGCCAATGGGCTACTTCTGCCATTAAACCAGACCCGATCTGCATATATCTGGGTACACATACAAGTGTACGAGCTGCGACCTGTCTCACTTCTTTTGGACGTTGCTCCAAAGAATGTCACCACACCCCGTTCACCGAAGAAGCGCCAAAGAATACGGAGAGGACGGGGAAAGAGGCCGCTACTGTCTACGCTATGGCGTCACCGTAAAACCTAATCTGCTTTATCAGATAGGAGAAGCCCGGAACAGCAAGCGGCGATAACCGACATTTGTTTCCGCAACACTTGGCACGTGATCGATGACTCTCGAGCCAGCAGAGTGACGCGACGTTAATAAGCGATTAACGCACCCCCAACAGCTCTCATGAAAAATCAAAAAGAAAATATAATATTAGATAAATACCCTTATCTCAGACAATATGAAGGAAAAAAACTTTTAAATCCTTTT